CTGCTACCTAATTTATAGGTACTTGCTTGTGCTATCACTAATCAACTAATCTTTCCTAGAGACATGTTACTGCCTGGTTGAGGCGTAGAGTGTCAACCGATTTCTTTTCATTTCTCGTTTCAACGGTAAAATTTCGAAATTGCAATTTTTGCAAATTCCAGCTAAACGCACGATTCTATTTGTTACATAATTATCATATTGTACAGCGGATGAATAAAGTTAGCGCAGAAATGATTTTACGTTAATTTTCGCAATTTCGCAATTTTACCACAGAAACGACCATGTGTTTACTTTTTTTTTTTTTTTTTTTATCAATTTTATTCAATTCTTTCTAGCATTTCTCTGACAAATCTCTCGGTTAGATTGACAATTGTACTTTATGGAATTTTACGTGTCACTGTAACGGAATTTTCATTGATCTTTTCCAATTTCTTTTCCTTTTATTTGTTTAAAGTGTTGTTTGAACTTTGCTCGCGGTGTACAATTCTCCGAGTGTATTCTTCTTCTTCTTAAATATCATTTCTTCTTGTTTCTTTGAACAGAGTGCAGACGAAAGTGCACACAATAAAACGATAAAAAAAAAAATACAACACTTTATCATTGTCGCGTGCAGAACAAAATAAAGATCAAGCGAGTGACCATCGAGACAATGAGAGATCTGTAGTTCAGAAACAAACGTACGACTTCGACATTTCAGTAGACACTCTGTCAATGATGTGTAACAATCATGTTTAAAGTATGTTACAGCGTTCGTGTCAGAGAGGCTAAGGACGTGTTAAAGAAATGATTATCATCGAACAATCGCAATTTCACTTTTGCCGATTTATCTGGAGGCACGAGCTGCTCGAAAGAGAGAAAAATTCGAGCTGCGGATTTCGTGTAATTCCAGAGTTCAATGTAATTAACACCGACTAAAGAGAAAACATTTCAGACTGAACAAGATCAACAAATTCCCGAAAATAATCAGTACTGATAAAAAGAATAATAATCGCTAGAGTATCGTTTCACGGTAATCTTCAATCTCTAAAAAATAATTCATACCCAATCTTTCGAAAAGAACCAATAAAACTACTGAAAAAATGAGAGATTGAAATTAAAAAAAAAAAAACCAAAGAATCAACCCAAATTATCTTAGCCTCGTGACACTCTCGTGTATAGGTAACCCTCGTATAACACAGCACAAACTGTGAGAACAAACTTTCGATACACGCTAAAAATCTCAGGAACCTTCGTGTAACACCGAGTAATTTAATTTAACCCTTTAGCGACCGAATTACACTTTTTCGAAAAATCTATCACAGCCTCTGCAATACTGAATTAAGAGAAAGGAAAATACAAAATTGAAATAAATTTTTATTCCGGCACTCAAGTCAGATATATAAGACTCTCAATGGTGACGAAAGGGTTAAAATAGAATTTCCTTAGGGAGCGACATTGAAATTTTCATCGCGACACACGATACGGTTACCTGTACGCGACAATTGTACGTGTCTGGTGTGTCTGTACGTTGCGTGTACGTGTCGTTGTTAATCGTTAATGTATTTGCGTCTGCAGCATGGAAAATGAGTGCATTTGGATTTCGCTAGGTTTCTCTGGTGGGTAGCTGGGAGACCCACCTTCGGTTGACAAGATTGTCTCTGTAAGGATCGCGGGGCTGCCGTTTCATAATGTCCGACTCCGGTGCCTCGTAAGCTAGCGAGATGGCCGGCACCTGCCATCCACCATTGATTAGAAAAAAACGTGTACCAAGCACCCCGTACACCGTACAAAGTAATATAGATAATAATATACACATGTATGCATATTTACATTATATGTACAATATTAGAATCGTACGTCGGTGCTATCGAAAGATGCAGGAAGTTCGCGTGATATCTAGGAGCTTCTCCTCGACCCTTTGAAATCTTAGAAACGTATTTTCTTTTTTTCTTTTTGTCAAGGGTCGAAAGTTCGACAGCGGACCATTAGCGGAGTGTTACGGTGAAAGTTAATGGAAAATATTCGACTCTCTGTTTCGGGGAAAAAATGACAATTCTTCAGTTCAGGATTCGACTAAATTTTGATCGATTACTCGTGGCAGATAATTGTTTGGAAAGATTGATTTTTTGTCGGTTGACAGTTCTGTTGCAGTGCTTTTAGAAGAATTGGTTACGCGAAAGGGAAGGAAGATTCAGATTTCGAAAAGTCAATTTTCGATCCTTCAGGATCTACGTTGTATTTCAAATTTCCCGCTCTTTCGTGCACACTGAGTACGGAAAATTCAAGCTTCATTTCTGTTAGTATCTTCAAGCATGTGCCCCCAAATGCACAGAGAGACGTGTCGTTTTGTATAAAAAGACGTTTAAAAAGCTTCTCGAGAGGAGTTAGGGAATTAAACGAAAAATTTGAAAGTTCGATCATCGATTTCGAGCGCGTGAGTGAATTGACAGAAAAAGAAAATTCAGCTCTCTGTTGCATAAGGGAGCTTGGAACAACCTTATTCCTCCCCTGTTATCATTATACAGAATGCACATTGGCCCAGACAGAGATAGACAAGAGATGTCCCGGCAGCTTAGCGACAAATTTCGTTCTGGCAAAAAAAAATATTGGAGAAAAAAAAAAAAGAAAAGAAAATGAAACGGGCATCTCTGGCGGTATAATAGGTAAAAAATTTGTTTTCGCCCGGTCGTTCAGCGGCCGTTAGAAAGTTGCCAGTCGCAGAAGTGGTAGAAGGCAGCGGCGGTAGGCAGCGCATTACAGAATAAAATGTGATAGGACTGTAAAGAATAAAAAACTGCAAAGAAGAAATCATGACGCCTAAAAAAATGGTACAAAGGTGCCACATTCTCGTGATTCCTCCTATACTTGATCCGTTTTCATAATCTTTCCTTCATTCTCTACCATTAACTATCGTGTCTTTTACTTCATTTTTTCTTCGCATCGTCGTTTCAGTTTTCTCTTTATCGTTTCGTAGCGTTTCGTTCGTCACAGGTTGAAATCGGTTCGTTTGGACGATTTTCGTGACCATCAAACAAGTAGATAGTAATATACGTTCACTGCGGATATTTATGCAATTAAAATGTTATCAAAAATTGCAAAATACGTGGAAGTAACGTTACAATCTCAACCAAGCAGAAGTGAAGATTCTACATGTTGAAATACTACAATTTCTTCGCTTAACACTTATGCTATCGTTAGAAAATCGTAGGACACGTGGACACCATAAAAATTCCGGTGAAAATCTCGTGTTTGTCTGAGAGTTACGAATTGGTGGCACACGATACGTTTCTCACGATTTTATAGTGACAGCCAACGTGTTAACAGCGGAGGCGTTAACGACTCCTCCTTCTTCCCCCCACTCTCTGCCCCTGACTCCGCCCACAACACCTCCTCTACTCCCACTCTCCATCCACAAGCTTCACTTTCGCTCGGTCCAGCTATACATCTGTCTATGCATCAGCTTACGTAGCTCGACAGACTTTAACGTTATCCTCACACATTTTCCACGTATTTCCATATACTATACTACAATTGCATAAACATTCGCAGTCTAGTAACTAGGTAAGTAGGTAAGTAGGTGAATATAGGTAGTAGTATAAAGTACAGAGGTAGCAGCGGCAACAGCTCTGTGATAATAGAATAATAAAGAAACAGTAATGATAGTAAAAAAAGGTTCTCGTCGCTATTTCTTTTTTTTAGTAGTAATAGTAATAAATATGCTGGCGTGTGTGAGATCGTGACGGCGTATAGTTATATAGTAAAAAATAGTAAAAAGTAGTATTGAAAGAGAGAAGTGTGGTGAACAATATAGTGATAGATATAGAGGAATTAATATCGAAGGGGGAGAAAAAAAGTAACTATAATATATCCATGGTGGATCGATTACGATGATGGTAAGAGGCAGAGAGACAGAAAGAGAGAAAGAGAGAGAGAGAGAGAAAAGAGGGTCAACGATAGTAGACACGTGGACACCATAAAAATTCCGGTGAAAATCTCGTGTTTGTCTAAGAGTTACGAATTGGTGGCACACGATAAGTTTCTCACGATTTTATAGTGACAGCCAACGTGTTAACAGCGGAGGCGTTAACGACTCCTCCTTCTTCCCCCACTCTCTGCCCCTGACTCCGCCCACAACACCTCCTCTACTCCCACTCTCCGTCCACAAGCTTCACTTTCGCTCGGTCCAGCTATACATCTGTCTATGCATCAACTTACGTAGCTCGACAGACTTTAACGTTATCCTCACACATTTTCCACGTATTTCCATATACTATACTACAATTGCATAAACATTCGCAGTCTAGTAACTAGGTAAGTAGGTAAGTAGGTGAATATAGGTAGTAGTATAAAGTACAGAGGTAGCAGCGGCAACAGCTCTGTGATAATAGAATAATAAAGAAACAGTAATGATAGTAAAAAAAGGTTCTCGTCGCTATTTCTTTTTTTTAGTAGTAATAGTAATAAATATGCTGGCGTGTGTGAGATCGTGACGGCGTATAGTTATATAGTAAAAAATAGTAAAAAGTAGTATTGAAAGAGAGAAGTGTGGTGAACAATATAGTGATAGATATAGAGGAATTAATATCGAAGGGGGAGAAAAAAAGTAACTATAATATATCCATGGTGGATCGATTACGATGATGGTAAGAGGCAGAGAGACAGAAAGAGAGAAAGAGAGAGAGAGAGAGAAAAGAGGGTCAACGATAGTTTCTAATAATACTGATGTAACTAGGACAGCGATAATAATAATAATATCGATGATAATGATCACAGTAACGCTGACAGGTAAATAGTAACGATAATAACGATAATTACCAAGGGGATGAATATTAAATATATATATATATAGACATATGTGTTTATATAATACGACTATAATATCGATCTATGTAGACAATTATATACAAAATAGAATCGAGATTCAACTAGCTATGGCTTTGAATTGGGCGAGCATCGTCGATTCGAAGCAATCTCTGTTATTGAACCTTTCGATTATTCATAAAGTGGGTTAACACGTTTTATCACATACACGTAACGCCTATTTTTTTTATTATTTTCTTTTCTAATAAAATAGAAGCATATATAGATAAGTATATTTTTAAGGTTGAAGCAAGACAAGCAAAGTTTGAGAATCTTTCAAGCGGTGATAGATAGAAGAAAAATTGGTGAGATTGGAAAAAATTTGGTGCAATTTTTGTAACATTTTGTCTTTTAATTGGAATTTTTCAAAGATTTAAATGAAAAAA